AAATCACAATAAAATAAATAAATAAATAAAATAAAGGACCAAAAAAAAAAAAGAACTAACTATGATAAAATCAAGAATGGAATCATGGTAAATCCATGCATAAGAGCCTATTGCCAGGAGGGAGGTGCAGAAGTGGAAAGAGGTAGTTCATGCAGAAGTCAGGGAGGCTTCATGCAGGAAGTGATATTTGAATTGGGCCTTATGGGTAATTGAAAAAGATTTTGATGGTCAGAGAATCAATGCTACATTTCCTTCCCTGAAGCAGTGCTGGGCTACATCCTTGCTACACAAAGTCGCTCCAAAGGCAGGAAAGAGACTGCTAGGTTCCAGAATAGAAATGCCTTCATGTGGGAAGGTAGACTGGATCCAGCCCTGCCTTGGTCACACTCTGACCTCCTCCTTCTGCTCTGTCCACAGGAATGAGACTGTGCTGCACCAATTCTGCTGCCCTGCCGCTGATGCTGAGCAGAAGCCCGCCTGCTCCGACCTGCCCTCCCACAGGTGGGAACCGGTAAAGGGTCCTCCTTTCCCTCTCTCCTTCCTTCCTCTCTGACCAAACCACAGACCACTGCCATATTTGGCTTCCTGCTCTTGAGTCTTGCTGCTTCTTCCTTTTTTTAACCTCTTTCCTCATATGCATTTCCATTTCTCTTTCCTTTTTCTGGATCCCAGATGAACCATTCACAACTTTGAAGGTCCTTATACCCTATTGTTCAAATCCTAAACTTATGATCCTCCCTTTTTGTACTTTTTTTGAACTTTAAGGAAAAGTCATTGGATAGTATCTATAAAACACGTAATGGGATGTCTGGCACTCAGTGGGCACTCAACCAATGGTGCCTCTTATTATCAAAGATTTATATTTTCTTTTTAATCCTTCTCTTTCCATAAAGGGTCCAAGATGACTGATTTTAATTTTAAGGATTTTTCAACACTCGTTGGGTTCGTTGACACCCTGAGAAGGAAGTTAGAGTGTCAAGAAGTCAGGGCTTAGTGTCACTGTCCTAGGTTTTCTTCATTTTTTTTTTCTGGGTTATTCATACTTCATCTTTCTTCTTCTCTTCTTTTCTTTTAGTCTCTATTATGCTTGCCTCCTTCACCCTCCATATTCATCTCGATTTCTCTGCCCTCATGTTTCTCCATTTCTCCTCTTCCACATCAATTCTCCTCTTTCACATTGATCTGCCTGTGTAGTCACTCTCAGTCTCTTATTATGCTTTGTTCTCTTCTCCCTTCCATCCATTTCCCTGTCTCAGTTCTGCACATTTCTCTTTTCTTTACTTGTTCTTTAGTTCACTGGGAGTCAGGACACTTGAATTCTGGTCTGAAATTGGCCCTATTTCCACTCTTCTGTTGTAGGGAAGATCTTTTTTTTTTTT